GCCATGGAGCATAGCCAGCTACAGAAAATAAAACTCCTGTGCTGTTTATGAATATCTGTTGTGCTCCAATTTGGGGGTAGAAGGCTGCAGTGGTGCCTCATTGCATTCATTGCATTTTGAGGTGGCAACGACTTCTCACAAGGCCATGATCAGTCCTATTTTTCAAATAATATTAGGAAATATAATGTTTGCTCTGTCTGAGAATGAATGAGGAACTTGAGCAGAACTGCTAAACATAAAAGTTCCTGGACATCTGGAAAGGATTAGTCAGGAAGGTGCTTGGGACAAGGAGTTCAGGCAAGTTCAGGAGACACCTACTGTAGATTTGTTTCCACAGAAGGAGGGAGGAGGAGTAAAAGGGTTGAGGGGAAAAGCAGGAAGGGAGGATTGAAATAAAACCTACGCAGGACTGGCAGATAAAGCGAGCGATGAGAACAGCCTGCATTCTGCAGAAGCATGAAGTGCAGAACAGGCAGCCCTAGAGGGTCTGCTGGAATAGAAGGGGCTGGGTGTAGCAACAAGGGATAAACCACGGTGGCAAAGAGCTGGCCAAATAACCGTGTGTGCCCACCCTTGCAAGGGCAGACAATGGACACTGCACTGAGAACGTCCGCGCTGTGGGAAAGCGCATCCCTGCTTCTCAGCCAGATGTCCCCCCACTCAGTGCACATCTATAGGATTAGCAGATTTTGCCCCCCTTGGAGCTCACCAACAACTCAACAGGGCAAATGCTGTGATAAAGTCAAGAGCACTAGAGAAACACTAAAGCGTAGACAGCCGAACGCAAGGAACAGAGCTACACATCCAATTAATGTCGATGGAAGAATGTTTGTTTTATTTCTGAGTGGTTAAGCACTCACACAGCCTCTTGGGCCCTGCAAAATCACAAAGGAGTTCTGCTCCAGGCCAAGATGAAAGTCTCAAAGAATAAGCATGAAAACCACAGGGGCTTGTGAAACCCATGCTTGGTTTATTAAATGACTCACGAAGCTTTTTATCACATATTTCTGCCTCCAACTCACTCTACACTTAAATTCAGGTGCCAAATTCTTTGTATTTTTCCTAAATATGGACCCTTGTAATAAATTCAATTTTGAAATCTGTTTGAAATCCATGAGCTTATGCTGAAGCAAAGCTTCTGGGTTTCTTTTAAAAGTCTGGAGTTACCCACAGCGGGTCTTCATTTCTGAAGCAGAACTGTGCAGAGACACCACTGCATCAGAAGCTAACTTTCACCCTACATGAAAAAACAAACTAACCAGATAGAAGACAGATGCTCTCTATAAATGTTCATGGGTATTCAAATTTAGTAACCGATTTTAGTTTATGCTTTCCCTGTAAGTGAAGAATAACTATTTTCAAATTAAGTTAGCAGGAGGTAAAGCTGAAAATCAAAGCATGAGCTTTGTGTTTCCTGAAAATTTTACTTTAACAAGGTAGCTCCAGCTGCTAACTTTGTTTTATTGCATTCCTGAAGGACAGATCTCCATGCAAGAATACTTTAAGAGCTCTGCTCTAAAAATAAAGGCACTCATATTTATTTTTATGGTTAGGTATATTTTACCAGTTAGTCTCAGAGCCTTTGATACTGCCCTTACTCACTGGCCTCACGCAGGTATCGCACAGGCTGGAGCCCCCGTCCCCGCATTCGGCTTCCCCGGGCAGCTGGAGAGGACCCCGCTGCCTGCCAGGCGGACGCTGCTACTTTTTCATTCACCTCCCTCCCGTCCCAGTACTCAGGCAGACGCTGAAATCCTTTGCTGATGACAGCAGACGTGGCTTGCTAACGGTGGGCCACGTCACAGCTCAATCTTGGAAAGCTCAGGCACAGAAACGAACTGAGAGTGAGCCAGGGACCCTCAGGGTGAGGGAGAGACGTGGGGAGGAAAAGCGGTGCCTACCGCAGACAGTCTGCCCTGGCGCCTCGGAGCTGCAGGCTGGGGCGGCACCACCCAACAAGGTCCCTGCCGTCGGAGCGCAGGTACCTAACTCAGCCG